ATTAGTGGAAAATATACATACATATGCAAAATATATAAATACCCGTACATGTATATTTTTAGAAAAAAAAAAATTCCAAGAGGAAGAGTCTAGGTAGAACTCAATGTCTAGGACAGAGTAAGGATATAATAAAAAGTCTTAAACACTAATATATATATATATATATATATATATATATATATATATATATATATATATATATATGCGTATATTTGGGAAGCATGTTTTCATTAAGACATGTCAATTAAATAAGTTAGACATGATTTGTCTTCTTATTTGTAATGGGATCCTTTCATAATTACAGAGAATCTGGATCTGTCTCTATTTTTAATAAGCAGACATATTGTTTTCTACTTTCAAATGTAAATCATTTTCATCAAAAAGTTACCAAACATTGCCCGATGACGAGATACAAATTTTAGGCCTCGTGTCGCAATGTAAAATATTTTAAAGAAAAATAGCAAGGAATTGTGAGTTTGTAAAACATTGATAATTGTAGTTAATAATACAAGACCTTTCGGTAAGTCGAATCAAGTTCTCTCAGTCACTGTGTGTTTATCTAAAAATAAATGCGCTTAAATTCACCTTTATTCCGTGCCACACTAATGAGCTGTGATACTGCGAAACACAAAACTCTCTCTCTCTCTCTCTCTCTCTCTCTCTCTCTATATATATATATATATATATATATATATATGCTCCTGAAAAATTTATTTCAGTTGAGCTTTCTAGGGAGGAGGTGTGAGTTTGTAAACAGTGATTATTACAGCTAATAATAATACAAGACTCATCGGTAAATCGAATCGAGCTCTCTCAGTCACTGTGTGTTTATCTAAAAATAAATGCGCTTAAATTCACCTTTATCCCTGCCGTGCGCCAACGGCTTAGTGGTAGAATCCCTGACTAACGCCAATTCAGTCGGGTTTCGATCCTAGCTCAATGCAACCGGATGTCTAACCACACTAATGAGCTATGATTGTCACTCTGTATATATATATATATATATATATATGCTCCGAAAAATTTGTTTCATTGCTTTCTAGGGAGGAATGTGAGTTTTAAACAGTGATTATTACAGTTAATAATACAAGACTCTTATTAAATCAAGGGAGCTCTCTCTTGTGTGTTTATCTAAAAATAAATAGGTTTAATTTCTTTCCAACCGTTGCCAACGGTAGGGTAAAATCTCTATCCTCAATTCAGTGGTTTCGATCCTAGCTCAATACAACTGGACCCTAGCCACTTTTGATGGTATGGTCAGGTTAAGGGTGGGTATTTATTGTCCGTCGTGTTTATCGTTCAAATCGATTTCGGACAGTTCCTTCGCTATTTTCAAGGGTACTCTTTGTGAATGGTTATTAATTTCTTTCAACCGTTGAAGAAATGGTCAGAATAATACTTTTTCAGATAATAATGATTTAGTGATAAAAGTTTTACTAATTAACCCATAGCTAGGGTAAAGCGGTGGATCTAGACCTTTCCCAAGGTTATTTGCGCGTAAATGAATTTAAAGAACCCAAAGCATATTGGACCTCGGCTATCTGATTTCCATTTCGCAACTATTATCCATCACACCACCTTATATTTATATATATATATATATATATATATATATATATCGAGAGAGTGGGTGTGATTTTCTAAATGCGGCTTGGATGTGGTACAAGGCCTAAAGTATGGGGCAACCAGTAAGGTGCGAACTCATTACTCAGTCGTAACTGATCTAGCAAGACAAACTTTCTATTATCATTACACCACGTCGTAGTGATATATATATATATATATATATATATATATATATATATATATATATATATATATATATATATATATATATATAAAGTGAACATAAAGTCAAAACACTTAGAGGCGACAGTCTGTTTCATGCTAGATGCATTATATATATATATATATATATATATATATATATATATACTCAGTGTATACCGGGGTTGAATAGGGGTTGATAAAAGTTTTCGTCGGTTGAAATCGGCCTATTCCCCATATAAGTCCGTAGTGTCTATTGTTCCAAGCGATTTCGGACAGTTCTTTCGCTATTTCCAAGGGGACTCTTTGTGAATGGTTATTAATTTCTTTCAACCGTTGAAAGAAAGTAATAACAAATATCCTCCAATTTGAGAATCCACGATATGTAAAGTCCCCAACTCTTTTGATGGAGGGATTATTGAAGTGACTTAACTACATAAGCCTAAGCATCAACCTGTAAATTCCTCATGTATTTCATCATCATCATTATCATCATCATCTTTCGATCTCCTTATGGTTGGTCGGTACACCACGGACAATTCCTTTCCTGCATTGCTGTTCCTTGATCCCCAATGCCATAGGAGCAAGGATGAGACAATTTCTCTGTCCACTCGATAGCAGTGGCCGGCAAACTGTAATCATTTTTGTTTGTGCTTAAGAGAGATTGATCTCAGTTCCCCGTAAATTGTGTTAAGCGCTGCATGGGATCTCCAACTGGATTTTACTAAGCAGATCAGTATATGTTCCATTCACTCGTCTTTTAAGGCGAACAGATAATATCTAAGTTTCGGATCCATAGAGCAGGATTAGTTCAATGTTCGAAATGTTTGTACTTTTAGGGAGGAAGGTTGGTTAGGATGCCAAATCTTGTGAAGTTTGTTACACGCCTTCAATGCAAGAGCTTTACAGATGTTGGAATCTTTTTGGGGGAATCTATTATGTGAGATCCACGTTATGTAAAGTCCTAAACTCTTTTGATGGAGGGATTATTTGAGTGACTTAACTACATAGCCTAAGCATCAACCTGTAAATTCGCTATGTACTTCATCGTCATCCTCCTCATCATCATCATCCTTCGACCTCCTTATGGCTGGTCGAAACACCATTGGCAATTCCTTTCCACATTGCACGGTCCTGTTTTTCTTTCCCCAGATCCCCAATGTCCAACACTGAGTGCCGAGCTATGGTGTCTGGGAAAGTCAGTTTTAGTGAGAAGACACTCCCAGAAGAATGCCATAAAAATAAGGATGCGACGATTTCCCTGTCCGCTCGGAGGCAATGGCCGACAAATTGTAATCATTTTTATTTGATCTTAAGATAGATTTGTCTCAGTTCTCCGTAAATTTTATTAAGCGTTGCATAAGATCTCCAAGTGATGTTCTAAATTTTTCTAAGTAGATCTGTATATGTTCCATCCAGTTGTCTTCTTGTGGAATTATGTATTGTAACACGTGCGAACATTTGCCATGGAAATAACGACAGTGTAACGGGAGGTTAACAACGTTTCGTTGGTGGAAAAAGGAGTTGCAAGGTGGTTTATACTGCAACTATGCTGCGTAGACCTTAGTTATAGTTACAGGGAAAAGCGTGATCAACAATTTGAACAAGGCCAGCATGTTCAAGCCCTCGGCCACGATGACTTCTGACTTTGTGCTAGCAAAACTTCCATTTATCCAATGTCAGTGACAAACACCTCGCCAGTCCGATACCATCAGCAAGATTCCTTCTTGACAAATCGACGATTATGAGATTCGAACCCGGGTCTCATGGTCATAATGCGAACGATCTAACCACGTACCTGTACGTATATATATATATATATATATATATATATATATATATATATATATATATATATATATATATATATATATATATATATATATATATATATTTACATTAGTCGGACTATTGTCCTCATCTTTGTCGCCATATTTGTCACAACGTTTCGGCCGTTGTACGCTCCGGCCTTCTTCAGGTGGTTGGAAGAAGGCCGGGCGTACTAACAACGAAACGTTGTTAAATATGGCGACAAAGATGAGGACAATAGTCCGACTAATGTAAATATGTACATCATCTCATCTCAGAAATATAGACATATATATATATATATATATATATATATATATATATATATATATATATATATTGGTAACTATACTCGTCTCGAAAAACCTTCAATTTTGATTTGCCAATAATCAAATCAATCTCGAAGGAAGAAAAGGTTTTAAAAAAGAAAGAGTTAGAAACATGAAAGTCTGTCGAAAAAAAAATCGCACAGATACAGGTTTAAAGCCCAAAGAAAAAACCCCGACACGAGTAAACAATTAAATAAAAAGACCCCAATACAACCGTAGAGCAGACGTAGCTCCAGCTTTCCCTGACGATCCGCTTAGGTGAAACCTGGGTAGGTTTGTCTGGCCCACTAGTTTTATCTATCTATCTATCTATCTATATATATATATATATATATATATATATATATATATATTCGACGGGTTATTTTTCGACCATTTTTTTTTGTTTTGTTGTAGCTTTTATAGTTGATTTTTATTTTACCCTTCATAGTTATATGAATTCAATGGATACTGGAGTTGATAAGACATAAGAATTATATTTTCGTCTGTCGAAATCAGCTTATTCATCATATGACGTGATTTGGGATTTTATTGTTTATCAATTATTTGCTTTGTAATAATGAATACATTGAGGTCTTTTGTGGATCAGTATATATTATATTACTAGGATACATTTGGATTATATACCAACGGATTTGCTATTTTATATATATATATATATATATATATATATATATATATATATATATATATATAGAGAGAGAGAGAGAGAGAGAGAAGAGTGACTGCCAATTCTTACATCACATAGTATTTTCGATGGTTTCACTTAACCCAATCAGTGTTTGGGGCGAATTGTTTGGTTTAGCCGACCCAGATGTACTCCATATGGGAAGGCGTAGACGAGAGACTTGCTATGTCGTCCTATTTTATGGAATAAACAAACCAAACAAAAAAATAAAAAGGATTTCAGATTTCGAAGTCCTAGAAAACAGGAGACAAAACAAAAACAGAAAAACGGGTTGGCAGGAAGAAAAGTAGAACGAAACTTCGAGGAAATGGCATGCTCTAAGCTAAGACCGGGCGAAGAAAAAAATCTCGGAAAAAATAAAACAAGATGGCCGATTGTTATGACGAAGAGCGGAAGTTGATTCTGACTTCCGGATATTTCGCTCATTTGAAAATTGTCTATTTGGAGAGAGAGAAAAATAATTAGGGAGAGACAGACGAGGTGAAAGAAGCTAAAAAGAGAGAGAGAGAGAGAGAGAGAGAGAGAGAGAGAGAGGAACATTAACGGAAATTAACAGAAAAGAATAAAAAAAAATACATTTCAGTTTTATATTTAAACCGTTTAAGGAAATATAAAAGAAAGTGAATCCAGGCTTTATACTACTGAATCCAGATAATATACTAAATCAACAAACACATTCAGTATGTACTTGCAAATATTTGCATTTTCTTAGAAAATATGCAGATATCCAGTGGGGGTAAATAATTCTACCCACAACAATATATATATATATATATATATATATATATATATATATATATATATATATATATAATCATCGAAGACAGACTGTTTCGCAGTATCACAACTCATCAGTGTGGCTTGACGTCCGGTTGTCTCTATATCGTAAACGTAATATATATATATATATATATATATATATATATATATATATATATATATATATATTTGGTTGGATAGATGTGACCCTGGGTTTCACGCTTAGCGATCGTCAGACAAACTCTGATGATCGCTAAAGCGTGAAACCCAGGTCACAAACTCACATCTATCCAACCAAATATGTTAGCTCTATCTCTGATATTGAGCGCTTTCTAATAAGTACCATACATATAATATATAAATAATTATACATATATATATTTATTTATATTTATATACACTTTTACACACACACACACACACATACACACACACACACACACATACATATATATATATATATATATATATATATATATATATTAAAAGACATTTTTTTATGTTTAACATTCTTTTTATCGATACAAGTATTTAAGTAAATGCTCTGTTTTTAATAAACAGTATTAATTAACATTTACCGGCCTGAATGTCCGGGAAATTTTCATAGAAAATATTCGTCCTTTGACAGGTTTCGAACCTGCATCCTATACGGAACCAACCTTAACCAACTCGCCTACCGAACGCTCCTTTGTGGCCGAGTCGGTTAAGGCACGTCAATGTAAATGACGGTTCCGTATAGGATGCAGGTTCAATCTTGTCAAAGGACGAATATTTTATATAAAATTTCCCGGACATTCAGGCTTGTAAATGTTAATATTGTTTATTATAAACAGAGCATTTACTTAAATACTTGTATCTATAAAAAAGAACGTTAAACATAATAAAATGTCTTTAATAAATTGTAGGACTTTGTCTAATTCTTAATATATATATATATATATATATATATATGATTTAAGACTAGTCCCAACACATTACATTGCATCTGGACATATGGTTCCGTTCTTTATATTTCTGTGCGTCACGACGTCATAGAACCGCATCACGAATTTAAGACCTGCATCTGCTATTCAACGACCGTTATCATCGCATAGCAATCTTCTATATCAAAATATGATTATATCATCTTTGATGGTGAATATATTTGTTTTAATGTCTCTACAAACTCTGTGCAGATGGCTCATATAGGCCGAAAGCTTAGATGAAGAAACAGCCTAAAAAATATCCAAATTTTGGACAGTTTTTGTGTTTATTTTGGGAGAAAATACAAAAGTTCGGAACCACTCATGATCAAACATAATAGACATTCGTTTCTGTTATATTTAACAATATACAATATATATATATATATATATATATATATATATATATATATATATATATATATATATATATAGGTAAAAATCCGCGGATAAGTAATCCAAGTGACTCCTAATAATATAAAATATTAAAACTGATCTATATATATATATATATATATATATATATATATATATATATATATATATATATATACTGCTCTACTTACTGTATTGAGCAATTTATTAAGTTATTTTTTATACTTTTCCTTTTCCCTTTGGTACTGGTTTAATTATTTGCAAATCAAGATACCGAAGGTTTTCCGGACGAGTATAATTTCTTATACTTATAAGATTAGTACTATTACTACTACTAATATATATATATATATATATATATATATATATATATATATATATATATATATATATATATATATATATATATATATATATAAAAAAACTTAAACACTAATATTCCATGGTCATAATTTATTCCATTGGAATCGTAAATACGATCCAAATCATCAGACCTACAAATTCAAAATGAAAACAGAAAAAAACAACTCCGGAAATCAAAACAGAATTTAGAGAAAGTGTAAGTATGAGGAGGAGTGACATGAAACCTTAACAGAGAGAGTTTTTGGAGATGTGGGTGGGGTGGATTTAAAAAGAGGAGCGAAAGAAAGTCGACGGATGTCTAATACATAAAGATTTTTTCTGTTTTCATTTTGAATTTGTAGGTCTGATGATTTGGATCGTATTTACGATTCCAATGGAATAAATTATGACAATGGAATATTAGTATTTAAGTTTTTTTATTATATCCTAACTCTGTCCTAGACATTGAGTTCTACCTGGATCCTTCCTCTTGGAATTTTTTTTTTCTGAAAATATACATGTATGGGAATTTTTTAGATATATTTTTCATATGTATGTATATTTTCCACTAATATTATCAATCTATATATATATATATATATATATATATATATATATATATATATACTGATATATCTCCTACACACACACACACACACACACACACACACACACACACACACACACACACATATATATATATTAATACAAACCACAAAGAAATAAACACGTCAGTTTTGTGAAAACTTCTAGCGATACACGTTTCCTCGTTACAATTGGGCTATTTCCATATACAGAATCTGAGAGAAGAAAATATAATTACGTATAAAGTTACAAACAAAAACAGTAAGAAGGCAGCAAAAATATATTTTTATTACGGAATTTGAAAATGAACTTATTACTGGACATTTGCGGCGTCGCTGGAAGGTCAGTACGTGACAGGGGACATATTTACTTTCCCAAATGTACATTGTTCGGAATGTTGTCTTCATCTTCGCTGTCATAATCACGACTTTTTGGCCTTTTTGTACACACTAGCCTTCTTCAGGTGACTGGCATTTCGAATCGAACCTTTTATTTCGTCCACCAGGGTAGATTGTTCTAGTTCCACGTGCCATGCCTCTTCCGGATGTCTCAGTTTCTTTTCATTTATTTCCCTTTTAGGAACTCAATCATCTCAAGGACACATGGCGCAGTGGATAAAAGAACTGGCTGAAGTAATCCACTGGCTTGACACACAGATTTGTGGCACAGCAGAGGTGATCAAAAGCTTGGAAAGTTGAGTTACTAAAGGGAAGTAACTGAAACGTAGATATCCGGAAGAGGCATGGCACGTGGAATTAGAATAAACTACCCCGTGGACGAAATAAAAGGTTCGATTCGGAATTCCAAGGTACATAACCTGAAGAAAACCGGAACGTACAACAGTTGAAACGTCGTGAATATGACAACAAATATGAGGACAACAGTCCGAACAATGTAAATAGTTAAAATAGTAACAATACCGCATCTCAAAAATATTATACAAATCCTGAAGAAGACCGGAGCGTACAATAGCTGAAACGTCGTGAATATGACAAAAAAGATGAGGACAACAGTTTGAACTATATAAATAGTGTAAATAGTTACAATACCGCATCTCAAAAATATAGACACATCCTCAAGAAGACCGGAGCGTACAACAGCCGAGATGCCGTGAATATGGCAACAAAATGAGGACAACAGTCGGAACAATGTTAACAGATCCTGAAGAATGCCGGAGCGTATAATGGTCGAAACGTCGTGAATATGACAACAAAGTTAGGACAACAGCCCGAACACTGTAAATAGTGTAAATAGTTACAATGCCTCATCTCAGAAATATAGACAGATCCTGAAGAAGGCCGGAGCTTACAATGGTCGAAACGTCGTGAATATGACAACAAAGTTGAGGACAACAGACAGAACAATGTAAATAGTGTAAATAGTTACAATATTTCATCTCAGAAATATAGACAGAAATACGGGACATGTGCAGTATATAAGGGAAGTCTGGTAATCCAAGTTCAGGGAAGCATCCACGTGAGATTATTTTCCATAATGTAATAGTCCATGGGATAAAGTTAAGTAGAACTTTCTCTTTACTTTTGGAATCAGATAGAGAATAACAGGTGGGGTCGCCTCCCTCTGAAAGCAAAATGGCCTAAAGGTCTGAAGTAATGGAGTTGATCTGAACATTCACCTTGGAATTAAAATCGATAATACTGCAATTTTGCGTCATGGAGAAAGAGACTGCAGAGTGGGAAATCTTCTCTCACAAGAGCACAAAAATAACGTTGAAGTCGATCAAGTTTAGAAAGAGATGACCGAGTAGCTCCTACACTATTTTTGTTCTAATCCGTTTCTTGTAAAGAGTAAGCATGCCAGGGGAAACCAGGTAGTTCTCCGAACGATAGAACGAAACAACCATTTATTAGGTTGGTGTAAAAATAATGACGTAATAATGTCGTTTTTTGACGTATTTTTAAAGGTCAAAAAACGACATTATTACGTCTTTATTTTGGCACCAACCAAATAATTCATTTTTTTTTTTTTTAGCAATGAATCGCGTTTATGCCCCACTCGACGTCTGTAGTTAATCAAAGTCCCATAAAATCAAATCAAGGAATCTCAGAGTCTGTCTAAATTTCTGAGATGAGGTATTATGTACAGTATTTACATTAGTCGGACTATTGTTCTCATCTTTGTCGCCATATTTGTCACAACATTTCGGCCGTTGTACGCTCTGGCCTTCTTCAGGTGGTTAGAATTTCGAACTGAACCCTTTATTTCGATCACTGGGGTAGACTGTTCTAGTTCCACGTGCCATGTTTCATGGATGTCAGTTATCAGTTATCTCCTGCCAATTTTCCCTCTGAAAGTTCTCCACTGCCTTAACCGGGTTTTGAACTCACACTCTTTGGGTCCTGTCACTGGATCTAACCTGGACACATGGCACAGTGGATAAAGGCGTTGGTTCGTGTTCATCGTGATCGGAGATGACTCAGAGTCTGACTGTTGCTGATGAAAGAACTCTAGCCTGGTCTTTCAGGTACTGACATTTGCAAGCAAGTTTTCGCCCAT